GAGATCTTGGTGGCCATCGAACAAATCTCCACGCTCGGCGTGTCCAATCCATCTGTCACGATAATATTGATTGAGATATTGTCTAATTATTCGAGCGTAGTGTGTAGGAGCTCCATCTAATTGAATCCATATTCTTAATCTTGTGTACAAATCTACTTCTTCAAGAAGTACTGGAAGATGGTCTCTCAGAAAATATAAAAAATTATGCATATTTGTATTTCCATCAAAAAGTACGGGCCTATAAGGCATCCATTGACAATTCCATACCATACGTTAAGGCTCCATCGATTTTGATTATTATCTATCTGCCTGTGCCAATGCGGATTAACATCCTACCAATAATGACAATTATGTCGATTAAGCTGGCCATTGCTTTGAAAGCTTGCTTCATCTGAATGCATTACATATCGAAAAAAGTTTGGATCATTGGCAATCATTTGTCGTGCCCATTGACAAAACTATAGACGTAATCTCATATCAGCAGGTGTGATGGCTTGAGTCAAAGTGATATGATATGGATGACAACGATGATTTCTTAGCATTCTCCAAACAGTAGCCATTGGTATATCAGTTTTCCTTTGAATGGTACTGATGTTACGATTTAAATGAACCATTGCCAGAACCACTATTACAGGAATATCTTCTTCATTGTAATTATTAAATTTATTAAATTTAAGAAGAAAACAATGTTAAACAAAAGAAATTTAATTAGTTTAACTATTCAATAAGTAGTGCTATATTAAATATAAACTGTATGTAATAAGCAGAGGTCAAAGTCATTATGATAAATTATTTTTAACTGAAAAAATTATCTACTTCAATAATAAATAGGGAACAAATTCATAATAGAGAGTCAGAGAATTAATTAATTTAATTAATAAATTGTACAGAGACATCGGTATGACAAAAATACAGTTTTTTGAGCATTTGACCTTCAATTGACCTTCTTAGGTCACCAATACAAACTTGAAATATCATTTTAGATGTAATTTTTCCCGCTCTACACGATTCCGTAGTCAAAAATAGGAGTTCCCATTAATAAAAGCCCTTTGACCTTCAGATGACTTTAAAAAAACGTATTAAGGGTCAAAGTTGATGCTACTCGTAGTATTTGATGGTCCCCTCTATACCCTACAACTTTTGTAGACGTCATTTTTTGATAACGTTTGTTTTTACTAGGTTATGTGCGTGGTAGGATTAAAATGAAACACCCTGTATATAATACACAATCTCAGCTTTATCTCAATGTATCTCAACGTATGATGATTTACATATAAATTAAAATAAAACAATATATTAACTCAAACAGCATAAGCCCAAATAATTGACGTTGCCTCGTGGCTCGTGGCGGAGTGTTACGCCATCAGCATACAAGATATAATATGTAGCAACTAGCAATATCTGACAGATGATGCTATATTTTATGGAACTTGTGTTGTGACCTATTTTTTTTGTCAAAATCAGAATATAACAGCTTTTGAATCTCAAAAAGTATTTGGTGGATTTATGTCATTCCTGCTATAAAAAAGTATACGATACTTGTGCCGTAAGTGGTTCTCTGGTGTATAGCACATGTATCATAATTAGTGTAACTCAGTAGTGAGCTCCAATCCTGTTCTTTAAGTATGATGGTAGGAGTTTGTAGCATGCAATAATAATAATAGATTCTTCAAGATTACTGATTTTAATTCCATATAGTTCAGTATTATTATTTATTATTTTGCATGTTTTTTATTAGAGAATAATTATAAGTATTTAAACCAGAATAATAAAATGAGTTACTGTCTCTAAGCTATGATTCGACACAAATAAGAACATCCACATTTTGAATTATTTTAGCGATCTCTTCTTTCTTGTTGCATACACTCCTTGGGTTTCAGTATAGCGTTCTTAGTTTAATTAGAGTACATTTTTCATGATCTTTACTCAGATGCTTGATGTACCAAACAATTAAATAAATAAACGAAACGAAACTATTAAATAAGTCTATTAAACTCTCAGTGTAATTATTTTAATTATTTACTTCAGAGTCTACTATATCCATTTTTTTCACATGAACCTTCTGATATTTGATGATATTTGTAATTCTTCTTTTAAAATTTTTTTCTTTTCAGTTATATTTGTGTGTAGGTCGTTCAACATGATTATAAGTGCGATAGTATTATCAGAGTATTTTAGCGAGAAAACGAAAACATTTTTGTATTCGCACTTGTAGGTCTCAATTAGAAATTTTCCTATGACAACAGCAGTAAGAAGATACGTAGCTTGTGAGCTCTCAGAGGCTGCATCGATTTTCATTTAAAGATCAGCGGGCATTCATTGTGATTAGTGAGCTTTTCTTTTTTTCAAGAGGTTTCCCGGTAGTATCTGTTCCATCAGCTTCTATAAAGCTATCATTGGATTTTGAAGTCAAGAAGAGCTGCCTTTTAGCAATAACATTACTATTCACAGGCTTGGTAAACAGTTGTTAGCCATTAAATTCTAACTGTACGTATTGTGAGTTTCGGTCTATGGAATTCACTTAAATGTTGTTGGAAGTATTGTCAATATTTGCCAAATTGTTCGTGTTTACATTAGCGGACAGAGCCAGTATTTTCATTGGTATCTTTACTTTTATTACTTTTATATTTAGCAGTTTTATATTTAGTGTCACCCTCCTGATTGCACATGAAGCAGATGATCTTTTTTGTGGAAATGTAGATGTGATGAAGCGAGTCATTGTAGTTAAGAGTGGCCTCCTTTAAAAGTTTTTGTATGTCGTCAGGATGTATGTAAATTTGTTTAGGAAAACTGAGTACGAGGTGTGTTCAAAAAATAACAAGAATTTTCGTTTTATGAAAAAAATATTTATTTATTCATCTACATTAATGTTGTCGCCTTCAAAGTAGTCCCCTTCGGATACAATACACTTATGCCAACGCTTTTTCCAATCCTCGAAACACTTTTGAAACTCGATCTTTGTAATAGCTTTTAGCTCTTTCAGCGATTCGCTTTTAATGTCATCTATGCTTGTAAAACGACGGCCTTTTAATGTTCTCTTTATTTTTGGAAATAGAAAAAAGTCACATGGAGCCATATCTGGCGAATATGGAGGCTGAGGCATCGTTACAGTTTCGTTTTTGGCCAAAAATTCACGAACAAGCAATGAAGTGTGAGCAGGCGCATTATCGTGGTGCAAAAGCCATGAATTGTTTTGCCACAAATCCGGGCGTTTTTTTCGGATTGCTTCACGCAAACGACGTTGAACTTGTAGGTAGTACTGCTTATTGATTGTTTGACCTTGTGGCAAGAATTCATAATCCACTATGCCATTAAAATCGAAGAACACAGTGAGCATAACCTTCACATTCGACCGCACTTGTCGAGCCTTTTTCGGCCTTGGCGATCCAGAATGCCTCCACTGGGAAGATTGAGCCTTAGTTTCGACATCATATCCGTAAACCCATGTTTCGTCACCTGTTATAACACGTTTTAGTAGTTCTGCATCGTTATTGACTTAATTTAGCGACTCCTGAGCAACTTCCATTCGCCGCTGTTTTTGTTCGAAATTAAACAATTTTGGAACGAATTTTGCTGCCACACGTTTCATACCCAAAACATTCGAAAAAATTTGATGGCATGAGCCAACTGATATGCCAACATCATCAGCGACTTCTCTGATTGTGATTCGGCGATCGTTCATAACCATTTCTTTCACTTTTTTCACGTTTTCATCGGTTGTTGATGTGCTTGGGCGTCCGGGTCGTTCGTCATCTTCAACGTTTTCGTGGCCATCTTGGAAACGCTTATACCACTCATAAATCCTTGCTTTACTCATAGCAGACTCACTATATGCCTTTGTTAACATTTGACAAACTTTACTACACTTTATTTCATTTTTTACGCAAAATTTAATACAAATTCTTTGATCCATTTTTTTTCACAAACGAAAATCGCCGAGCTCGAAAAACACGTCTAACGTTAGCGGCTGCCACTTAAAAAGTAAGCAATGAATATTGCTGAAAATTTTATCGTACTTCAGGGGCATGTGTACCAACATAATAAAAAAAAATTTTATACAAGCGGACTCTCCAAACCCGCGAAATTTAAAAATTCTCGTTACTTTTTGAACACACCTCGTATATGCGTAAATCCAGTTTCAGCGAAAATAAGCCTAATCTAACTCAGCTTGACTTCGGCTCAATGCCGTATGTCTAAAATACTGAAATAATCTCGTCTTGTAGGATGCTGCCATGCGTATTTGAAAAAATTACTCTGCTTGATTTATTGACGTAGAGTTTCATTTTCATAATATGTTTATCAATTACCACTGTGTTATTGCCTTCTTTTGTTAGTGATTCAATGATTTTTTCATCATTAAAATAACAACAAAATCTGTTTTGGGATATCTTGGACGCTGCAATAATGTTGATTGGTGGCGTTTTACAAGCGATAGTACGTAGATCGGCTTTCACGTCTATGCCTTTGAGGGTATCAATTACTATACAATGACTAAATTCTTTTTTAGGAACATACTGTTTCTTACTATATTAGAAAACAACAGTGTTGCGTTACTTTCGATTGATTTTTGACTTTAGTTTTGTAGATCTTTTTTGAAAATACTTTTAATTGTCGAGATACTCTGCAATGGGAAGGTAGATATTTTATCCAATTAACTATTTCTTATTTATAGAAGCAAAAGAAAAGAATGTCAGTGTTGTGTTAACCGCATTACGCCGCGGCCAACCGTGGTACAGATAGTAAGCGCCATAATACTAATCAGAGCTAAATGTAAATACGTCTGACTCAACGTCAATGAGAACTCTACTGATTTTTAAAATATTCATTTAATTTACATCAACCAAATTATTATTAAAGCAGATACTCAATTAGTGATTTACAAAATGAATGAAAAGTTTATTCGAGCTACTAATTATATCTTAATATTGGTTATAAATAATGACAATTGAAATTAAATTGTAATCATATAATTAAAACTAGTTCATTTTATTTGATTTCAGGCGACATATCCTCTTTGTACTATAGCCAATACTCCACGATTGCCAGAACACTGTATAGAATATGTAAAAGTTATTCAATGGCCTAAGGAAAATCCATTTGATTGTTCTATAGATGGTGATGATCCTCAGCACATTAATTGGATTTATGAAAAGTCAAATGATCGAGCTATACATTTCGGAATTCAAGGATTAACGTATAGATTGGTACAAGGTGTTGTAAAAAATATTATACCCGCTGTTGCATCAACTAATGCAGTCATTGCAGCGATATGTTGTACAGAAGTTTTCAAATTAGCTACTAGCTGTACAGTATCGTTAAACAATTATATGGTAATGATATTAACGTCTACATATAAAAAACATTTGCAATTAATTCTCTGTCAATCATTATAGTGTTATCAATTTATTTTAATTAATTTAATCTCCTTTTGCTGAGAAAGTAGTTAGTTAAAAACTTAGTTTGATATTATTCGGATAAATACCGGATAATCCGGGACAGAAGAATGGGGAGCTTCAATTCTTCAACTATTTAGAGTAGAGTACAGAGATCTTATTAGTCAAATAAATCATACACATAAAATGCTTTATGATTGTACAGTTTTATTACAAAACTTGATTTTCTGTGCAATAGGTATCGCTTAGTTATTAAAATCATTTCCACTGATGTTACCTATTTTTAACATAATTATACAAGGATGTGACAAGAATGAACATAAAAGTATTATTACGAAATCCACCCCTTTCAAAATAAGTGTCATTTCATTTACGTAAGTATTCACTTATTACTCACATAAGATTGTTAAAATAGCGCCTATATTTAAGAATTCTGAGAAAATAATATTTAATAACGCTACAACCACAAAAACTTATTTAATACATATAAATGTAACTAGTAAACGCGCTAGCTGCTATTTTCGCGGCTATCGCGAGAGCAAATAAAACAGCAACATGAAAGAGACACAACCACGAATAAGTGAGGGAGAGAGAGCGAGAAAAAGAAATTCAGGCGTCTAGGAGCGAAGAGCAAAGATTGGATGCAAACCAACACGAATAATCAGTGTCATTAGAACGCGACCACAATAAATGTGTCTTGCTATTGTCGAACGTCTCTTCATTTTCGCTAGTATTTTACCGTAATCTCCTTGAAGATACTTCCGTGAGAGTGTGTGCAAATGATGAAAATTATGCTAACCCATGTCAGAAAGCTGAGTGACTTGTAACAAAAGCGGGAAATTGAGATGGTAATGAGAAATAAGACTTTCGGGATTGTCCAGGCCACTCGCATATAAATTTACTAGAAACTTCAACGTTGCCGAAAGCAATCCAGAAGCTGATGAATGCTTTGTTGTGTTCATGTTTGAATTATATGGTTCACTATACATTGTGAGTTGTTTTCTTTGCCTCTCTACCTTTCTCGTCTTTTCATATACCCCCCCCCCTCTCTGCCATTCACGGCAAAGCACGTTTATAAAAATCTTTCAGCTAAAAAAGTATATTGTATTGACTTTCATAAAGTATAATAAAACGACATAAATGTTTCTGCATTCTGTAATGTAGGTCACTATTTTTATTTGTAAAAAATAGTGAAAATTAATCTAACCTTTCACCCGAAAATTGAATCTACCCGCTTCGTGAATCACTTTGTACTATGATTTCATGCACGTTTTTAGATATGAAAGTGCGTTTATTAAATTTACTGGTAACAAGTATTCCCAACCCTGATCAAAGCGGTGATTAGCCTCTCACTGAGAAATAACCGTTGCTGATAGACCAAAATTAAATTAACACGAAACGAGAACACACGACAGTAAATTACAATAAATTTTGTTATGTTTTTACATTTTACTATATTTATTTATTGTCTACACTTCTATACACAAATATCAACTTTTTGCCAAAGTTAAATAAAAATATATCAATCGACCATCCTCGCTCTTTCATTGATGATCTCTCTTCCTCTTTATCGGTGTCACCAATCTGCCGCTAGCATTTCGACAAACAAGAGAGCACAAACATGAGGTCAGGTAAATACTGCACAAGTTTTCAGCTTGGCAATGGCTGAGAAGATGACGAAAAAGAGGTAGCTCGATAGTTAAACGATTCACAGAGCTCATTCCACCAATATGGCCTTGAGAACTATTTTAAATAATTAATTTGATTGAAAACAAAATATTTTTGCTTACTCTGAAGCTATAAATATTAGGAAAAGGATTTTAGGAAAAATCCTCAAGAAAAACTTACCAGTAAGAATCATAGTTTAACTATTAATTCGCTGATAAATAGATTCAACAAAGCGATTGTAAACTTTTTGAATAAATACCTATCTACATTAAAATTGTCTTTGAAAAATACCTACTAACGATCAGAATAATTACTGGTTGGTTTCTTTTAATGTTATTTTCATATACACAAATATTAATATTAACTTGGTATTACTAGATATTATGAGAAAATGGAAGTGTTTAAAATGCCACATTAATTTGACCTTATAGGGGTTTCTAGATGGTATTATCTTCTTTATAAGCTGAAATTATTTTTAATTTAATGGCAAATTTTGAATGAAACACATTGTCTGGATGTCATGAAATGTAATGTTAACTTTTATAAAAGATAAGTGGATGATATTTTATTGTTGCGAAATCAGAAAAAATAGACGCTTGAGTATATTTAATATATTTAATAATAATAATAACAAAATAATCACTGGCATTAAATAAGCACTTTTGGAACGCTTTATACCTTTTGATTTTTACCATCTATTTCCACAAAAGAGAGCTATTGTTTATAATTTTGTAAATAGAGCGATCCAATTGTTACACACGATTTCACTCACAAAATATAACTTAATTTGAAAAATTATTACATATAAATGACTTACCCATGGAGTTCATAAAGTGCTCGATTCCTCAGAAACTTTCATACATTTATACACGACCTAACTAGACCAATAATAATAATGATAATAATGAGATAATCCTAATCATTGTACTAACTTACATTATAATGGGATTTTTGGTTGAGGTCACAATATTTCTTATTGCCATAAATGGGAGGCAAGTACCTCGGGGTGAATTGATGAGGAGAACGTCTTATGGATCTGAAGGATATCAGCTCTGGCAGGTATCGGTGCAAGCTATGAGCAGTTCGCTCGGTCTTTCCCACTTGTTCTCCGATGAGAGCGTGACTGCCTGGATCTGCGGAGAGTATTATGGGGCTTATTCTATAAGAGCGTGCGCATGACAAGTCATCAGAGAGCCAGTAGGGAAGCAAGAAGCGGTAGAGTAATAAGATAAATAAATAAATAAATAAATAAGATAAATAAGTAATAACTAATAAAAGTGTTAAGCTTTGATGCAGACAATAGGATTGGATTACAAAATAAATCACGCGAGTCGGTAGTAAACCATGCAAAGGATATAGATAGTAGCACCGAGAAATAAATAGATAGATAAAAGATCGTTTATTTGTCCTATAACGTGTGTTAAGCCACTCGTTATGTCTCTCTCTCTCTCTAACAACCACTCTTATATATATCCATACTTATATACTTATATTTATATTAATTTATGTAACCTTCTGTACAAAGCTTAGAAGTAGCAGTCGCAGCAGACAATAGAGTACGAGGTAAGAGAGAGAGAGAATACTTAATTCGCAACGCGAACTAGCGAGAGGAAGGATAAGCTCATGCAGATCCACACCGAAAGCGCGCTAACGTGTGAGAGAGAGACGGCCGCGCGACAGGAACCGACTTAGGTTTGACAGAGTAAGGGAGAGAGAGTGGGGGAACGCTCCCGCGACATTAGCTTGAGAATCGCGGCCAAAAACATACGTGCTCCTGCCGGCCGGCTTTCAAAAAGAAGTCGAGATATTACTTATCTTCATTGAGACGTTTTGATTTGGCCCAGAGGCAGTAGAAAGGAGAGACTTCCCACCGTAAATAGTGCACAGTGTTGCAAGTTATTGTGTGGGACTATTCCGGTGCAAGCTAGCCAATCGTCCCCCTGTATTCAAGCATTTGATAAGGCTCATCCGTGGCCTCGTGCGCATTTGTAAGTACCTACTTGTGTACCTTGTCTCTCTCTCGCTAGCTAGTTATTCTCCCTCTCTTTATCGCCGCGCTGCTTTCTATGTAAACTTACAAGCTGTATAAATATCATTTATTTTATGCAACCCTTTTTCTTATTTACACCTGACTCTACAACTTTCCACGCTTTTCCCGTTGGTGAATTAACTTGAAGACTAGCTGCTGAACCCACGACGCTCCCGCGGGCCTTAAGGCGTAACTAAGTATCCGGGCATAGTCTCACGCGGTTGCCGTACGCCCGCATCGAGCTGTATAAAATATTTATTGATCTCTCGCGAAATAACGCGGGCAAATATCAACCCCGTTATATTGGCGCCCAACCGACAGTGGCATTCGAAGTAGCTTTTCTTCTTGTGCGAGAGACACGACGCCGCGTGTTTACGAAAACGATAGAGTACCAGTGCGTATATAACAGAGACTCAGGTTGCGCAGCGAATGTAAACACAGTGTGTTATTTACACGGCAGCCTTGAAATTGCTATAAGCCTCGCTAGTCGAGCAATTTCAAACTTTTTCAATATTGGAATATAATATATTTTTCAAGGCTACGCCGTTTGAGAAATGTCACACGATTGTACATAAGAAAATGCGTATGTAAACATAGGACACGGCGAAAAGTGTGTAGTGGTACATGAATTCGACAAACGAAGACTTTCGTTCACCTATAAATAAACAAGCTAATCAAATCACAACGATAATATACTCGTACATATAAAAGTACACATATACAGGGTGTTCCAGACCACCCGTACACCCCCTCTAGAATCCAAAATAATGGATTAATCAAAAACTGCTTCAGACAAAAGTTGCTGGGCTTCGAGGGGGACATATCCGTACGACCTTGGCTTTGACCTTGGAGGTCATGTTCAAGATCATTTCAAGGTCAACTTTGTTTTTTTAAATAGGAACCTCCATTTTTGACCCCGGATTTGGAAAGAGCGGGAAATTTTACGTCCAAAACGGTATTTTTAAATTTTTTTTCATGGCCTTGAGAAGGTCGATTTAAGGTCAAATGCTTGAAAAACTGCCTAAAAGCGTTTTTTTAATTTTTAAGATATCGAAAAATGACCTCTACAAAATTTGTTCAGAACAGAGTGGGCCACCCAATGCACCAAAAACCTTTGACCTTTAACCTCATTTTGAAGGTCATTTCAAGGTCGAAGTGTTTTTTGTAATGGAAATCCCTCTTTTTAACCCCGGATACGCACATAGCGCGAAACTCAACACAATACCTTATCCAAACGTCG